GGGCTGCTCCTCTTCAGCTGGGCCTCTCGACGAGCAGCATGCCCCCCCCCCCCCGCCTCCGATCGGGCCGTCATCGCATCTCCAGATGCTCGCATACACTAGAACCTCGAAAGTGTCATTGGGGACCTGGTCCTCGGGCGGCGCCTCGTCGAAAGTCGCGCCAGCACACCCGGCCCCGAAGGGCGGGCCCTTGCGCGGCTGAGACAGCCCGCGGATCGCACGCGCAAGCGCACACGCGCGGAACGTGCAAACTTCATAGATTGAGAGTCGGCTCGAGCGAAGCTGTCTGCGGAGACCGACACGGGCTCTCTGGGGGCCCGCTGGGGCTCTGGGAAGACGATGCCCGACGGGGCGAACTTCCAAGCCTCGGAGGGCCCACCCACCCACCCCCCAAGGTGTCCAGCTGGAGGCCCAGGAGCCCCCACATAGGCAAAGACCCCAGGCACGGCAATTTCGGGCCCACATCGAGCACGGAGGTCTGGCATACCAAGGGCACCAAGTGTTCCAATAATATCGGGAAATGCACCACAGACATGCCCGCGGCTTTGCTGACCCCAAACCGAACCCACTCTCGTTCAGCGGCCCCCCTGAAACTGAGACCTAGACCCGCAAAAAACTCCAGGAACGTCCACATTCACTCGTAACCTGCGGGAATGCGCTGGCAACCTATGTCGATGCCGATGTATAACTCCTGGAAGCCCTCTATAAAGCACAGGTCCAAGGGGTCCAGAAATGCCAGGTGACATTGACAGGGCGTTGTTCTTTCGCTTCTATTCTCGACGCTCGCGGCTCTCGAATCTGCAGCTCGCAGCTCGCGAGTCGGCAGAAAACTGTCGCGCTCCTGGCGCGTCTCCAAAACGCACCAGGGGGCCCTGTGGAACACGGGCCACCCTGCCCCCGAAGGCGGCCACCCCCTGCCGCACCGCGTCGGGCGAAAGGTGCACAACCAAGGCCTCGTGCTCCACAGTATCCGCGGCAATGTCGCCCTCGTCTCCAGTGTCCACTGTCCGCGAGTCACCTGATCCAGATCCCGTGAAAGTCGCATACTGCCTGAGAAACAAATCCCAGCGGGCGGCGAGGCCGTTCACCTCCGCGGTGTACTTGGCGACAAACGCGGCGCCGAAGACGCCGGCGGCCTCGCGCCCGGTTCCGACGCCTGGCCACCCGAAATGGAAGGCCGAGGCGATGAGCGGCGATCGCCTGGCTTCGGCGGGGCCCAGCCGGTCCAGCCTCTGCCCAGCGTCATCTTCTTAAGCTTGTCGCTCGTGACCGTCAGGGCATCGGCGAACTCCTGCATGATCAGGGCTGGATATGGTTCGGCGTCCTCCTGTCTCGTGCACTTCGGCCGCGTCGATGTCGTTCCCGTCCCCCGGTTCATTCCCATCGTCGTCGTCAACATCGGCTTCACCCACGTGAAGTGGTTTCGGCGCCTGCAAAGGCGCTCGTCCTGGCTGGCGGTCGCCGCCTTTGCCACCTCCCTTCGGGCCACGCGAGACCTGATCACATCGGCGTTCCTGTGGAGCGGGCTCGCCCAGACGCCTGCGTGCAATTTTCCAAGCTGGCGCCAGCCAGCTCGGCGCGACAGAGGGCCACTGCACGCTCATGGCCTTGACGAGGCGGTCGTAACCATACCATACTCGTCGCCGGGTGCCAGCAGGAGGTTGCGCTTCACCTCTGGGGGAAAGACATGCACGGCGCGACAACTTGAAAGCTCGAAACTGACCACGCTGAGCTGGCAACCCGGTTCGCTTTCACCTCATATCTAAACCCTTGATGCGGGCGACATAGGCGGCAAGCAATTCGTTGGGCAGCAGCTCTACCTCCTCGTATTATTCCATGAGGTCGCCTACCTGTAGGATATGCTGCTCGTCGAACACGGACAGGGAACCAATAATCAGCTGGATCTCATATTGCAAATAAGATCATGCCCACTCCAAAGATTCAATCATCTCGGCACCCTCACCCGTGACGACGTCCGAAACATCAAGGGCAAGCTCGGCCATAGGTGTGTGATGCCGCGCCCTGGCCTTCCACATCTTAACTTTGCGAACCCACTTCTGCTAGTACCTCGGATGTTTGCACAAAAAAATGGCCTCCAGCGGAGGCGGCGCCGGACAAGGTCCACCTCGCCACTTCTTGGGTACTCCTCGACCCGTTCATCGAAACTCCGCCGACCTCGGGGGTGCCTCCGACGGCGTCTCGCTGTAGACCTCTTCGTCGTACCACTGGTCCTGATGGTCAGCTCCATCTTCTGGTAGCCAATCGTCGTTTTCATTTTCCTGCTCCGCGTCGTGACGCTGAGCCTCTTCCGGTTCGGCGGCGGTTCCTTCTTGGGCCAGTCCACCGTTCCGGCCACGGTGGCGAAGGCGGCGTGGTGCCTCGTCGTCGCCTCGAGAACCCTGGGCAGCGGCAGTCCCTGGAGTGAGCGTCGTGCGATGCATCCTGGATCAAGAACGTGTCGGAATCTGTCCGACTCAGCACGGGAATGTCCAGAAGGTGTCTGTCGTCACCGAAAACTTCTCGGTGCGAGGGAGTTCGGAAACACGCTCCGCTACCATCGTAGCGCACGAGCAGGCGCTGATGGCTCGCGTATCTCTTCCAAGACCGTCTCGCGGGCAATGTGATGTATGAGTCTGCGTAGCAGCTAAAGGGGGCCGCCTCGAGCCACAATATGTATGACGGACGCGAGGGGTGGGAGCAGCAGCGGCACTAGCAGGGACCAGAAAGTACACGTAAACACAATTACTATTGCAAGGAGAAGGGAGGCGTGGAGGAGGAAGGAGGAGGAGAGACTTGGAGACCACAGTGCTCTATTCAAAACGAGAACCCAACGCAGGAGGGCCGGGAAAAAACGTTCCCCGCTGTCGGCCTCCAGGTTTTCGTTTTCGAGCACTGAGACTGTCAAGAAGTTGCAGCAATTACCGATCGTTGTCGGCGAGCGAGAGGGGGGAAGTAAGAAGGAGAAGGCCTTCGCAGAAGGAGGCGGGACTTCTCAGAAGCCCTCGCACCTTCTGACAGTTTTCCCTGTTTTCGGGGAAGGCTTAGAGCACTTCTCATAAGACTGGGAGTCTTCCGAGCCTTCTGAGAAGCCCCGCCCCTTCTCGCTTCCCCCCTCGCTTGCCGCCGAGATAGGGGTCAAAAGGTCCAGGGACACCACGGTGTGAGGAGGTCAGGGCCCTCCTCCCTGTGGCTGGCTGTCGGGCCACGTCTCAGACATCGGGCGGCTGTTCGGGGCGGCTCGGCCACTCTGGCCTCTCCTCGACGAGGCCCAGCTGCTGCGAAAACACTCCAGCGCCCGCCAAGGATCGGTGCGTACGCCCTCCTGGCTCTGCCAGGGCGGCATACTTATACATATATATGTGTATGTATATATATATATGCAGATATACAGGTATACAGATATGAATGCGTACATACACAGACATGCATGCATACATACATACATACATACATGCATACATACATACATACATACATACATGCATGCGTACATACATACATACATACATACATACATACATACATACATGCATACATACATACATACATACATACATACATACATATACATGCATACATACATACATACATGCATGCATACATACATACATACACATACATATCTATACACACACATACATACATGCATGCCGACTTGCATGCAAACATATGTGCATACATACATACATGCATGCATACATACATACATGCCTGCATACATACGTACATGCATGCATACGTGCATACATACATACATACGGATATGCATACAATCGTGCAGGCATACAACGGATATACATACATACATGCATGTATATGCACAGTGATAACTATATGTGTATAGTCCTATACATGCATACATGGATGCAGACATACATGTACATTACAAATACACATACATATACGTATACATGTATATATATATATATATATATACAGAGATAGATATGCATATACATGTACACACACATGTATAGATGCACACGTGTACATATACCTATATATACATATACATATACAAATTCACATAATATACATATACAAATACATGTCCATACCTATACAGATGAATGAGCTTATACACAAATATACATATGCGTGTACAAATACATATGTATATACAAATACATATACCTATACATATGCACATACACAAACACAAGCATGTACATATATATATACATAAAATGTGCATGCACATATACACATATATATACACTTATACGTGTGTTTAAAGTACAAAAACAGATTTGACTGCATGCGCATATACATATACATACATATACATATACAGACATACATACACACAGTTATAAGCATATACATATATAGATATATACATACAGATGCACCTACACATGCACATACACGTACACATGCATATATGCATACATATGTGCATACATGCATGCCTGAATGCATGCATATATATATATATGTGTGCATACATTCATCCATCCATCCATCCATCCATCCATCCATCCATCCGTACATACATACATAAATACATACATACATACATACATACATACATGCATACATGATAGGTCCCGGGTCGAGGGTTCACACACACACAGATGGGATGGGTCCCAGAGCCCCACGGGCCCACCCCACCCACCAGATGGGATTGGACGACGACGACGACGACGACGACGACAACGACGACGACGACGACGACGACGGCCGCACTGCAGCACCACCCCACACCCACAGGGGGAGGGGGGGGGGTACCCCACCACCCCACGCCCACAGGGTGGGGTCCACCATGCCACGCCCACAGAGGGGGACCCATCGCGCGGGGGGGGGGGCGGGCGAAGGCGTCAGCATGGGAGAACATGGGGGGGCCTGGAGCCCTGTGTCATGTACCCGGATCTTGGCCCAGGATCCTGGCCAGAATCGGTTAGGGGAACAACTGACGCCCTTCGAACAAGAACCGCCCAGATCTGAAGGACGCAGCGTTCACGACGCGACGCCAGCAGCATCGCAGGCTCCCGGGCGACCAGCGCAGCACGTCGCTGGTCTCGCCGCAATCGTACTGAGGGGAGTCCACCGCGGCAGCACAGCCCCTGCCCTCGTGGCGGCAGCACCTGGGCCGCACCCACAGCGCCCCCAGATCGCCCGCTCTGCGCACGTTCGCCTACTGCGCCGACGCCCGCGGCGTCTGCTACACCTGCGCACATGCCGACTGCGCCTACTGCGCTCAGTACTCCTGCACCTACGCCCCCACACCTCCCCATCCACCCCTTCTGGGCAGAGGGAACCTCAAACCTCACGGGTCGGTCCGGCTCTGGCATCGTCCCCGAAAGATGAGCTTGGGTTTCACGGAGTGTTGTTTCAGGCGTCGCACCTTCGGACCCAGGGGCGCGCGACCCCTGCTCTTCACCTCCTTCCTCGCATCCCATCTTCTTCAACGTCCAAGCAATGTCAATCATGTTGCGAATCGCTCAGCGCATTGCCTGCAGGCGCCCTAACAAAAAGGAAGGGACACTGGCTTGACACAAAAATGAATCCATGGGTATTCCCTCATTTTTTCTGCCAGCGCCCAGGACGGCCTCAGGAAGGCGATCTGGGGGGACTCTTGACGACGCCTCCCGGGAGTCTTGGGGTCTAGGGGGCCATCTTGGGGTGGAGTGCTCGGAAAGCTCATGCGTCTTCCCCATCTTGGGCCTCTCTTGGAGCCGTCTTGGAAGCCTCCTTGGGGACGTCTTGGGCGCTTCTAGGGCCATCTTAGGGCCAACTTGGGCGCCGTTTGGGCCTTCATGGGCGGATATTTGGAGCCTCTTGGGCCGTCTTGGAGCCGAGGGATCCCGAAAAGGCCAGAACGCTGACATCTTTTTGATCATCAAAACACTCTTGGAGCCCACTTGGAGCGTTTGAAGCCCATGAGATCATTTGGACACCATCTTGTGCCTCTCGGAGTCTGTTGGGCCGTCTCGGAGGCCTTTTGGACGAGTTTGGAGGCCTCCTTTGGGTCGTCTTGGGACACTCTTGGGCCGTCTTGGCGCCCTCTTGGACGCCGTTTGGGCCTTCATGGGCGGGTATTGTGGGCGTCTTGAGCCGTTTTAAGAGGGGCCTCTTGCGCCGTCTTGGAGCCCTCGCAGAGGCTCTCTGGGAGTTCTCTTGGGCCATCTTGGGGCCTTCTGAGGCCGCCTTGCAGCCTTCTGGGGCCATCTTGGCGCTCTCTTTTTGGTCTCCAGGAGGCCCATTTGGCCGTCTTGGGCCGTCGGGAGCCATCGAGGCGAGAACCATGAAATCATTCGACAACTTTAGGAAACGCAACGTGTTTGGCCTCCTCAAATGGGAACGCTCTGGGAGCTCTCCTGGGACATCTGGGGCACCTCTTGCGCCGTGTTGAGGCCATCTTGAGCCCTCTTGGAGCGTTATTGGACCGCATGGGACTTCTTGGGCCGTCATGGGGATATATAAAGCCGTCTTGGAGACCTCTTGGGTCGTCTTGGGTTCTCTGGGAGACGCTGGGGACGGAGCGATAAAAAAGGTAGCCCGATGGTAAAGAGGTGGCGAGCACAGGGTGGAAGGGCGTGTTCGTCCAGACGGTCGAAGAACAGGCCAACATGGTCTGAAAATCTGCCAACCGCTGGCTGCTCGGCTAGCTGAAGTGCGGCCCACCATAGCCAGAATAGGACCTATGATTCCACCAGCCCGCCGGACGTAGCAGGTTTATGATTCCACATGTTCCACATACGCATACACACACCCCTCTTGACTTAGGAGATAGGTTTACCCCTCCCCCTACGTACCCTCTACATTGTGTCTGTAGCCAGGGGAGCCTCGAGGGGTTCGAGAGTCCATTTGCGCTAAAGATGGCTCCAGTATGGCCTTGGATATCCCAAGATGGCCTCCAAGACCACGCGTAAGATGGCCCCAGTTGAACCAAGATGACGTCCAGAATGCCTTCAAGAGGCCACGGAATATTTCCAAGACGGCCCCGAGGGGCTTCGTAGCCACCCAAGGATGCACCAAAAGTCCAAAATCATTCAAAACACGTACGGCTGTGACTTTGTGTTTCTCGCCACTGTCTTTCTGATGGGCTTCCGAGGCCTTACCATGACGACATCGCCCAAGCTAGCCCCAATCGGGGCTCAAAGGTCTCCAAGAGGGCCTCGACGACCGCCAAGAGGCCCCCAAGAGAAGATGTTTCGGACTGCCTGCTGAGGGGAACCCTAACTGACGCCGCGAACGCTGGAAACACTCATCGCGGCACCCCTACAGGACCCGTCAAGTCCCACCAGCCCTCTGGGCGTTGGTGGTCTAGGGAGGCTCCTTTTCCAACCCCCGTCTTCCCCTTCGGGAAGGATTTATCATTGTTCCCTATGTATTTATATACCCCCTCCCCAAGGCGACCGGCGGCCAACCAGGAACCATGCTCCCACCCCCCCAAACCATCCCAGTCAAAAAACAATACTAAACGCACTTTGCCCCCACATTTGGAGAATGCGCAGCCAACCCGATGCAGCCCCCCTCACACGGTCCCTTTCGAAAAACAATACAAAATACACTTTGGAGCAAAATCTTGAGTCATGTTCGCGAGGCCTGCAAGCAATTTGTATTGTTTTTGATAGGGACGGCGGGGGGGTCGGCATATCGCCTGCTGCGCGCAGGGCTACAATCCCGAACAAAACACAATACAAAATGCACTTCGCGGCTACCCCGCGATCACTGTCAAGTGGTCGTTGACCGGGACGGCGGGGGTGGTGGCGCATGGCCTGCTGTGCGCAGGCCCATCAAACACGGTAATGGGCATTGTTTGTCGACAAGGATGGGGGGGGCCGACATGTTTCCCGATGTGTGCTGTCACGTGCGCGGGCGCACCTGACATACTCTGCACGTGCCCCGAACGTGGCGCACCTGGCGCGGCTGGAGTATGCAGCACACCTGGCGCACACGGAGCACGTGGCGCATCTGGCGCACGAGGCGTGCCTGGCACGCTCGGGCCCCAAGGGTTTCTGGCGCGCGTGGCGCGCCTGGCACGCGCGACGCACCTCGCCCCAGCGTCGCGCACATGGGGTCGGTCTTGGAGCCCAATAGCTGCCCATCCAAAGACGCCCGCTGAACATGCTCATGCTCGGGTGTCACTCATGTGTTGGGAAGGCGGGTGGGGGTGAGCTAGACGAGTTGCTCTTTATGGGGTGTCTTGATCACGGCGCCCTATTACTATACACCCCCTCCCCCAGGCGACTGGGAGCCAACCAGGAACAATGCGGGCACCCCCCCACCATCCCTGTCAAACAAAAAAAAAAAACATTCTGCCTCCGAATCCGCAGCATGCGCAGCGAACCCGATGCGGCCTCCCCCCACCATCCCTGTCAAAAAACCATACAGAATACACTTGGCGGCGGCGGCGGCGGCTGCGACGGCTGCGGCGGGAGCAGCGGCTGCGGCGGCCGCGGCGGCCGCGGCGGCGGTGGCGGCGGCGGAGGCGGGGGCGGCGGCGGCGGCGGCGGCAGCGGCGGCGGCAGCGGTGGCGGCGGCGGACAGCAGCGGCAGCGGCTGCGGCGGCGGCGATGCGGCAGCAAGGGCGGCGGCGGCGGCGGCGGCGAACGGCGGCGGCGCGGCGGCGGCGGCGGCAGGGCGGCGGCAGCGGCGGCGGCGGCGGCGGCGCGGCGGCGGCGGCGGCGGCGGGCGGCGGCGGCAGCGGAGCGGAAGCGGCGGCGGCGGCGGCAGCGGATTCGCCCCCAGTAGCTGCCCATCCAAAGACGACTGCCGAATATACTGCGGCTCGGGCCAGGCTCGGGTGCTACGTATGTGTTGGGAGGGCGGGCGGGAGTGAGCGAGACGGCTTGCGGGCGGGGAGGGGGTCTTGACCCCTCGCCCTACCCTCCCCACTGGACCTGGACGGGGGCAGCGGCGAGGCGCTGGAGCGTCTAAAACGGCCCAAGACGGCCCCAAGTGGGTCTCAGGGAGCCCGAAATGACCCCCAAGATGGCTCAAGCTGCCCTACGATGCTTCAAAATGGCTCCCAAGATGCTCCAAGGGGCCTCAAGACCGCCCCAAGACGGCTCCAAGTGGCCAAAGAGCTCACCAAGTAGGCCCGAAGAAACCGAAATCTTTCCAACACCTGAGGAAAAGCCATGTGTGTTGCTTTCTCGCCCTTTCGCTTTCGATGGCCTTCCGAAGCATCAAGATGGCTCTCAGGTGGCCCAAGAAGGCCCCAAGAGAGGCCCAAGAGAGGCTCAACACGGCCCCAAGAGCGCCTTAAGATGCGATGTCTGGGGTTCCCGAGGAGCTACGCTAAGTGCGACCCTCCTCTTCTTTGACCGATCCCCTCCAAGATGAGTCAAAAAGGCGCCCAGTAGGCTCCACGGGCCCCCAAGAGGCTTCCAAGATGCCCCCAAGAGGCTCCCCCGAGGCACCCCAAGACTTCCCAAGAGGCCCCCAGGACCGCCAAGAGGCCCCCAAGACGCTCAATGCTTCCAAGAAAAAATCTCCCAAAAAATGGAATCGCACAAGCCCTCTGGGCGGAGGTGGTCTAGGGAGGCTCCTCTTCCAACCCCATCCATCTTCCCCTTCGGGGAGGGGTTAACCCCTCCCCCATGCCCCCTCCCCTGGACCTGGACGGGGGGGGGGCGCGAAGGGTTGGAGCGCCCAAGACGGCCCAAGATGGCTCCAAGAGCGCCTGGAAGAGCCCATAGCTCAAGATGGCTCAAGATGGCTTCCAAGATGCTCCAAGAGGCCCCAAAACCACCCCAAGACGGCTCCAAATGGCCCGAGAGCTCTAAGGAGGCCCCCAAGAGGCCAAAATCAGTTTAGAAAGTGCAAGGATAATCAATGTGCGTTGCTTTCTCGCCTTTTCGCTTCTAAGGCCTCAAGATGGCTCCACGATAGCCCAAAAGGGCCCCAAGAGGGCCCCAAGAGAGCCCCAAGACGGCCCCAAGAGCGCCCAAGAGCGCTCCAAGAGCGCCTCAAGAGCGCCCCAAGAGGCGATTTCAGAGGCTCTAGAGGGGCAATGCAAATTAAGGAATCCCTCTTGTTTGATCGATGTCCCCCAAGACGGCCGCAAAGAAGCGCCCAGGAGGCCCCAAGAGGTCCCAAGATGGCCCCAAGGGGCCCCCATGAAGACCCCAAAAGG